TGTCTGATTCAATTTGAGGATTGAATCCATGCAATGCGGATGAGGATTGCATGCAATTTAGTCTGCAAAAGTGTTTGTTTAATCTAAGTCAGGCCCCAGAGTTGAAAAAAAACAACAGCACACTAAAAGATGCTTATCGATCTTTACCACAAGCAGCTGTGGGACACTCTGATCACTGCATGATTCACCTTGTACCTGCTTACAGACAAATACTTAAAACCATGAAACCAACAATTAAATCAGTGAGGACGTGGACTGAGGAAGCAAAGCTAAAATACAGGCTTGCCTTGATTGCACTGATTGAAATGTTTTTGAAGATACCTCTGCAGACTTAGATGAACTCACAAATGCTATAACATCATATGTTAGCTTCTGTGAAGACCTATGTGTACTGACTAGGAAGCTGTGAATATACAGTAACAATAAACCTTGGTTCACAGCTAAACTCAACCAGATATGTTGCTCCAAAAAGGAAGCCTACATTAAAGGTGATAGAATGCTGTGCAATCAGGCTAGAAACATATTAACAAGGAAGATCAGAGCAGCAAAAAGAAGCTACTCTGAAAAGTTGAAGAATCAGTTCTCAATAAATGAACTAGCAAACATGTGAAAAACTCTTAAAAATATCACCGGCTATGACAAACCTCCTTCCCAGGCTGAAGGAAATCAACAACTAGCAGATGACCTGAATGTGTTTTACTGCAGGTTTGAAAGGAAACTGCAGCCACCTATCTCCATTTCAGACACACCAACAACAGCCAAGCTTCCCACAACTGATCCCAACCCATTTGATTCAGAACCCCTGGTGATCATAGAAAAAGAAGTGCAAGATCTACTTCACAGACAAAAGCCAGAAGAAAAGCATCATGGATCCGCTGTTAGACCCCCTGCAATCTGCATACCGAGCAACTAGATTGACAGATGATGCTGTTAATATGGCTCTGCACTACATCTATAACATCTTGAATCTCCATGTAGACTTTAGTTCAGCATTCAATACCATCATTCCAGATATTCTTCTAACTAAACTAAACCAGCTAGTGGTACCTGAACACGCTTGCAAGTGGATCACAAACTTCCTAATAGACAGGAAGCAGCAGTGAAGCTAGGCAGAATCACATCTGATACCTGTACAATTAGCACAGTCCCTCCCCCCAAAGCTGTGTGCTCTCTCCACTTCTCTTCTTCCTATATAACAATGACTGCATCTCAAAAGCTCTCTCTGTTAAAATATTGCAAATTGCACATGATACAACGAATGGCCTCATTCGAGACAATGATGAATCCGCATACAGACAGGAGGTTGAACAACATGGTTTGTGGTGCAACTGGAACACTCTGGAACTAACACACTCAAAACCATAGAAATTGTGGTGCTGCTACCTCTTACAATACTATATAACACAGTATCAACAGTAGAGACCTTCACATTTCTAGGTTCTATCATATCTCAAGACCTAACATCAAAAACATCATCAAGAAAGCACAACAAAGAATGTTCTTTCTGCGCCAACTCAGAAGGCTCAAACTGCCCAAGGAGCTGTTGATACATCTGTACAGAGGAATTATTGAGTCTGTCATCTGCACCTCTATAACTGTCTGGTTTGGCTCTGCAACCCAACAAGACAGACACAGACTTCGGAGGATAATTAGGACTGCAGAAAAAACGATTACTATCAACCTGCCTTCCACTGAGGACTGTATACTGCATGAGTCAAAAAGAGGGCTGTGAAAATATTTACAGACCTCTCACATCCTGGATATAAACTGTTTCAATTCCTACTTTTAAAACAATGCTATGGGCATGATAGCACCCAGCCTCTTGCAGCACTCTGCCAGCCAAAATGGGGCATGGGAGTTAATTACAAAATGTGGGCTTTGCTTTGTGACATCCAGATCCAGTGAGCAAGGGGTATGAACTGCACAAAAATACATTTTTGTTTGGTTATCCACAAAGTCAGATGTACGCTAAATGTAGATTGACTTTTAGCTACATATCTCCCCAGCAAACACCAAATTTTGAAGCTCCAGATAAAGAGGATTCATTTTAGGATGAGTAACCACAGTTTGCATATTGGAGATTCCTAAACAAATGCTGGGAAACTCTGTATTTTAAAGAACATTTGAGGGAGCGGTACAGAATAGCCCTTCTCTGCCTGAGGCTGTAGAGGCTCAGCACCAATCAAAACACTTTTTCTGAAGCAACTGATCAACACTGACAGGTTAAGCCACTAGTATATGAAAATAAGAGCACTCCCTTCTAGGATTGATGATGTTACCTAGTTTGGTAATGAAATCTCTGCAAGAACACTTTTTGGTTAGAGGGACTCAGGGGTGGGATTCTACCAGTTCGGATGAGTTCTATAGAACCAGTTGTTATGATTCTGCGCAGTTCGGAGAACCAGCAAATTGCACACTGGCTGGCCCCGCTCCTCTCTGCCCACCGCTCCCCTCCCTGACCAGTCAATCCTTATCACACATGTGCAATATGGCTGCCTTCAGCCTGCTTTTGCCCACCCGCCATGCCAGCCATTGCTCCCTACCTTCGCGATTCATGAGTGAGGGTATGCAAGCAAGTCTCAATCGCCTACCTGTTGCCGCTAGTCACCTTCTCCCCCCCCACTTGCCTTCGCTGCAGAATGCATGAAGCAGCTCCCTGTCAACTCTGGCCGGGTCAACGGCTGCTTCTCTCCTCTGCTAGCTAGGAGAGTGAGAGAGTCTTTCTTGGCACAGCGAAATTTAGCTTATTTCTGTGCAAGAAAGACTCTCTCGCTCTCCCAGCAAAAGCAGCAGGAGAACGTGTGGAGAGGCACTCATGTTGGTTCTGGCTGGGTCAGCAGCTGCTTCTCTCCCTGCTGGTCTAGCTGGGAGAGTGAGAGTCTCTTTCCTGGTTGAATTCTGTTCCTCCCTGCCCCCCTGAGCCATTTCCCGAAGGGAGGGGACTTGCAGAACCCAAAGCAACAACTCCTGGTTGCTAAAGTACATTTTACTGTGCTGCACAAGATAGTTTCCCAGGGCCCCGAGGGCCGTCCTCCCAGAGCGCCACCGCCGCCACTCTGAAGCTCCCCTTTGGGATGGATCAGTAAGTTCTTGCTTTGTTCCCCAGGAAGGGCTCCGTCATGGAGGGCTGTGTCTTTGGGCCAGGCACTTTCTGTTGGGCTTACTACCTCGCATGGGGTGGCGGGAGGAGGAAGTGTGTGGTGGGGAAGGCTGTCTGAGGTTCTTGCAGCCAAAGCCTGGAATATTGGGATGTCTGCAAATTTGCATTTGTATGAGGATGCTTGCCCCATGTGACACTGCTCACCTGACTGGCCAGTATGTCAGAAGAGAAGGAGGAAGGAAAACTTGGCAAGTGGTCTCCTCCTTCTCCGATATTCACACAGAGCATGGACACATGAGGCTGGGACCCTCTGTGCATGGGCGAGTTCCTCCGGCGCCATGCATATACAATGTGTGCACAGTACGCTCTGTGCGTATGTTGGAGAAGAAGAGTTGCCAAACTTTTCTTCTTCCCTTTGCAGTATGAAGGCAGCCACCTCAGTCTGTCCCTTTAAGGTACCTCAACGTGGGGGTCGGGGTGAGGAGAGAGCATAAAGGGACAGCCAGGCCACAGGAGCTGCCTTCTGAGCAGTTCCACTGTGAAGGGAAGGGAGGAAGAAAAGTTTAGCAATTCTTCTCCTCCTTCTTGGGTACAGCGTGCACACACGGCACTGGGAGGTTCTTCTGCAAGGAGACGGCACGTGAGCAAGTCCCTCCAGTGCCCTCCAATGCCATGTGTGCATGCTCTGTGTGTATGCCCAAGGAGGAGGAGAAGAGTTGCCGAACTTTTCTTCCTCCCTTCGCAGCACAAAGACAGCCCCTGAAGCCTATCCCTTTAAGGTACTTCAACATGGGGGTGGGGTAAGGGGGGACCATAAAGGAACAGCCAAGGCACAGGAACTGTCTTCCAAGCACCTCTGCTGCGAAGGGAAGGAATAAAAGTTTGGCAACTCTTCTCCTCCTCGAGTAGAGCATGCACACATGGCCCATTCCCTCCCCACTCCACTAACCTGCTTTCCAGCTCCGTTCCCCTGGGCAGGGCAACAAAAGAAGACACAGCTGATTGCCGGGGGGGCTGATAGACCGAAGGCAGTGAATATTGGGTGCCTCAGCTTCACAGCTGATCGGCACTGCTGATCCATTTGCAGCCTCACAGCTAATGGCGGCAGATGAGCGGGGAGGTGCTGGGATTCCTGGGAGGGGTGGGGCAGGGCCAGCCAATGCTGGGATTTGCTGATTCGCCAAACTGCGCAGAAAATTAACATCCGGTTCACCCAAACTGGTGTGAACTGGCTGAAGCCCACATCTGATCACATGACTCTGGACACTGCAACCATCATAAATATGAGTCAATTGTCAAAAACCATGTGACCATTTTGATCATGTGACCATGGGGATTCTGCAATGGTTATAAGTGTGAAAAATGGTCATATTTTTTTCAGTAATGTTGCAACTTTGAACAGTCGCTAAATGAACTGTTGTATATTGAGGACTACCTGTACTTTGCAGACACAAATCTAATCGTCCATTCTATCTCAGGTGAATGGCACTTTGACATTAGTTATGTAGGTCCAGTGCTGAAATAAATGTTTTTTCTGAATCTATAATACAGTCCTAATTAAGCAGCATATATGTGATCTCTTGTTTCTAAAACGATTAGAGTTTCTATCAGAATGCAATGCACTACTTAATTTCTGTATTTTACTATTAATCACTATCACATGTGAACTCAAACATCTTCTTGCATCCTTTTTATCAAAATTAAAGAGATTCAACATATACTTCACTTTGAATTCAAATAGCATAGTGAGTTGAAACTTTGGATACCATGCTGCATGCATGCAAACTGTTATAACTGCTGTCATGTAAATTTTATTTTATGTCTTCTCTGAAGCAAGACTATTTATGGTTTCAATTTTCTTTTCTGTATTAATAGTTCTATTAATTCTAAATGCTCTTACGTTCAGGATCACTTCAGCTTTTGTTGCCCTCTCATTGCTGTGCTGTGTTGTGCAGAATCGATCCTCTAGAGGCAGGCTTGTCACTCTATGTAAAGTATAGAAAGAGAAGGGAAAAGGAAAGGTAATTAGAGAGGGGAGGAAAGGACGTGAGAAAAATGGAAGGTTATATTATAGAGAAGGCAAAGAGAAACTCAGTTGCAGCTAAATACTTTGGTTCTTTGAAGTCCAAACATTCTGTTTCCTGGGCATATGTAATGATTTAACAATATACTAAGAACTATGATACGTCATCGGTGACACCATTTGCCCTAACAAAGAGGTGGGTAACTATTTTTTTTAATTTGGCATTTTTCCTAAATAAGTTTGTTTTCTTTGAGAGTTCCAAAGGACATGCACCACAATTTAATTGGATCAGCAGAACCAATTTTTTTTCTCATTGTGGGAAGAGGGGCAGGACAAAAATTGACAGAGAAACCTCATATTTTGGTTTTTAATTAAAAATCCTTTAAAATAAAAATCATAATCTTGAAATCCAACCTTTCTGTCACTAAATTTTACTTGTATAACTCTGAGGTATTTTGGAAAGCTGAAGACTATATTTGCCAATCCCACCTCATAAAATGTACTTCTATTTAAGCATATTGAACTCAGTAAGAAATAATTTTGAATTTGTATATGTCAAATAAGTGGATTGAGTCATTGAGGCCTGTTTTTGCAGGGAGAGGAGCTTTAAGTCAAACTTGATTCCTGATGGCTGCCTGGACAAATTCCTACAGCTTTTGTTAATTAAGATTTTGTTTTCATACTGATAACTTAATCTCTTTCATTGAAAACATTTCCATGAATAATATTGATTCATAACATAAAAAATGTTGATGTTGGCTCATTAGATATGTGTTTCCAGACACATTATGATTCAAGTCTATGAAATCATGGCTTCTTTAACAATGGTTTATTGAATACAAACATTATGTTTAGCTTATACATGTAATTCATAAACTATAATTTATAAATCAGAATAGTACGTTCACATAACATACTAGGCCAAAGCTAAAATGTAGTTAATGCGTGGATCAAGCCTACTGCTTTTTAAATAAATCATCTATTGGCAAGTTGCAAATAAATTATTTAAAAATAGAATTCCAGGTTAACAGAGATTCAGAAGAAAATGGATGTTCAATGCAGACATCAACACATGTATTTATTTATAAAATTTATTGGCTGCCCATCTTGCCACAGGGTACTTCTGAGTGGCTTACCTACCATCTTAAAAAGGTAAAAACTATACAAAATCTAAGAGACATAAAATATATTTTAAAGAATCAATTACTGAACGCCAATTAAAAGAATGTGGGGAAGGAGGGAGTAGTCTATCAATCACCCCTTATGTGAAACCCCTCCATTGAAGTCCCAAGCTAACTTGCAGAGCCAGGTCTTCAAGCTCTTGTGGAAGGTCAGGAGGGCTGAAGCCGGCTCACTCAGGAGCAAGTTGTTCCAAAGGGCAGGTGCAATGGCAGAGGTGGCTTTTTCTCCTAGACCCTGCCAGCTGGAATACCCTGGCTGATGGAGTCCGCAGCATGCCTCCTCTGCTGGTATGGGTGGGGCAAGCCAATCCCAGTGGGATAAGTTGGTTCCTCAAGTAGCCTGAATCCATGCCATGAAGGGCTTTAAAGGTGATTACCAACAGAAGCAAACTGACAGCCAATGAAGGTCATGGAGCAGTAGTGTAACATGGACCATCTTTGGACTCCAAGAACTGTCCACGCCACTATACTTGCACTAGCTATAGCTTCTGAATGCTCTTCAATGGTAGCCGCATAGACAGCACATTGTAATAGTTCATCCACAAAGACTCCTAGTCTAGGAGAGGTAGCAACTGGCACACAACCCAAAGTTGTGCAAAGGTTCTCTTAGCATGACTGCCACATGCTCTTCAATCAGGAGTAATGAATCCAGGAGAACCCCTATATTGTAGATGGGACCCTCTAGGGTAGTGTCACCTCATCCAGAACTAAAGATGACAAAGTTCCAGATCTTTTGGCTCCATGCACCCAAAGCCAGGGTTCAGCCAAAGCCTGTTGTCCCGCTTTCAAGACCCCACAACCTCCAGGCATCATAAAAAAATCAACAGCATCACTTGGGCCACCAGGGGTAGAAATATGGAATTGAGTATCACAGCATACTGCAAATACTTCAATCCATGGTACTGGATGATCGCACACAATAGCTTCATGTAGATCAGGGGTGTCAAAGTTGTGGCGCTCAGACTGGATGCATCATGCGCTGACCACTCCCACCCTGATTTAGCAAAGTTGTGATACATCATGTGATGACAACATGACGCCCTGATGTAGATATTAAAAAGAAGTGGAGGAAGTACTAAGTCCTGTGGCATGCCACAAGATAATGGTTGAGAACTGAATCTTTCATTCCCTGTTAATAGTGACCAGCCTTAGAGAAGAAGCTGAACCAGAGCAAAACTGTGTCACCCAGCCCCAGTAGTCAGCCCAAAAGGATACCATGGTCAATCAAAGGGTGCTGAAAAGATCAGGGGAAGCAAGGATGGTTGAACTACTTTCATCTCACCCCCATCAGAGATCAACAAATGCAACAATGGCATTTTTATCCTGTAACCAGGCCTGAATTCTGACTGAAAGAGGTCCAGATAATCTGTTTCATCTAGGACTCTCTTAAGCTGCCAGGCAACCATATTTTCCACCACCTTTCCTAAAAAGGGAAGATTAGAAGCAGGATGAAAATTGTCCAAATAGGTGGGATCAAGTGATGGGTTTTTTTTTAGGAAGGGATGAACCAGGGCTCCTTAAAAGGCCCTCAAAACGTCCCCTCCTGTAATGATGTATTATTAATCATTGCCTGAATCCACCTGCTAGTCATTGTTCTGGAGGCTGTCACTATCCAAAAGGAACAACGATTTAACTGACAGGTAGTGGCACTGACAGCATTAAGGATCCTGTCCACTTCCTCAGGTCCAACAGGGTCAAACCATTCCCAGACAACTGTGCAAGACCTTGTCCCAGGTATCTCATATGGAATTGCCTCATGCATGAGATCTAACTGGGAATGAATCCAAGTGAGTTTGTCTGTCAGTTATTAAACAAATCCCTCTCCTAAAGATGATATAAAATAACCAAATGGAATAATCATAATCTGTATTATTAGATTAAATCTACACAGATCATGTAGATCTTTCTTGGCTTTTTGTATTATCTAACCTGATGTCATATTTGGGTAGATTCTATAATGACACTTTGGATGGTCCTAATAAAAAGAGCTAATTTGATGGAATTGTTAAAGGCTGGACCAGTCTAGAAACTTGGAGAGTCTTGCCTTAGGCCCAAAACCAACCAGGTAATTTTGGGCTAGTCACACTCTGTCTTAGGAAGAAAACAGTGGCAAACCACTTTTAAAATGATGCCAAGAATATAGGGACTTATCCGATTGATCCCCAAAAGTCAAAACTGACTGAAGGCACAACACAAAATGAAACAGGTTAACCATCTAATCACAGACAGCGATTTTCCTCCTTGACAGGCTCATCAGGTGGTAAGTTTCCATTGGCTGCAGTTCTAATATAGATACAAATATTACAGAGAAGGTAACAAGTGTGAAAAATGTTTATGTTACTTAACATCAGATTTTAACTAGGGATATATATGTACCTGTGTGTCTCCGTCTTTAAGTCTATTATTGTGAAAGAGAACCGTAAGAATTCCCCCGTGATACTGGGAACGGAATGGGGGGGGGGGAGGTGTCCTTCACAAGCGAGTCATAAAGGTATAAAAACCGCCGCAGCCATCGCCAGAAATGGAATTGCGCCCATAATAGTAAGCAAACTCCATGTGTAAAAGTTAATATCGTAATCAAAAAAGGGGAGGGGCATATAACCATTTCGCATTTAAACAACTGTAAGCCAGGAACGACTTTTCCCCAAGAAACCCCTCACCTTCCTATATTTGGTCTGCCTGCCCCAGGCGCGTTCGCTCTTTCTTTCTCTCCAAGCCGTCGGGTAGCGTCTACCCGTTTCCGTAGCAACCCCATAGTTCCTGTTTAGGGAAAAGAGAACGAGCGAACGAGCGTGCGCACTATGTCGTGATGGTAAAGAACCACAGAGATAGGAAATTATAGATAACCTTGAACGATTTTTTTTTTTAAAGCTAGTTTTTCCTTAGAGAAGCCATCTTTATTTCGCCTCGCAGACTTTTGAAGGAAAATATCACCGAGGAATTTATTTCACTGACCCTTATTGTGAATTGGGGTTTTTTAATGTTTAAAATGAGCCAATAAATATTCATCATATCAATAAAAGATAATAAATGCAGCTCTGGATTGATACCAGGTGTCTTTGGTGCGCCCTGAACTTGTTTTCTTTGCAGACGTTTACCCAAACTAGGTAACCTCATCCGTGATAGAAGGGAGTGCAGATTGCTGTTTGCATTCACTTAGAGGCGATTGTGTGCGCGCATACTGTAATTGAGATCGGCTGTGACAGCAGTGATGGATTTCTTCGATTATTATTACAGTATCGAAGGAGGAGTCCGTGACTCTCATGTATTAAATGTCTGAATCAACAACGAGCCTTATGCGCCAATCGAAGAGAGGGCGCCAAAGATGCTCGGAAGAGGCGCTTGAGGATCCGTGCCTCGCAGGGAGGAGGGCAGGACCGAGCTTATTTAGCTGTCCGCAGTTCACGCGTTGATACTGGAGTAGCTGTTGTCTTCGTCATTGGTTGGTCTCGTCATCATGCGCAAAACAGGCCCGCTTCCCCTGCCTACCCGCAGGCGGAGTGGGTGGAAGCGTAGGCGCTTCCTTGGGTGGGTGTTTGTACTTATCGGGCTGTAAATTGGCCAGCCTTTGTGCGGGAATTCATAAACGCCTTAATTAAAAAAAAAAAAAAGTGCGGAGGCGAAAGACAACCCTACCTCTCTTACAGAAATACCGTGTAATTTTACTTTGGTATACTCTACAGGTGATTGATTGATGTGCACGTACATAAGTGTCCATACTCCGTCAGCTGACGTTCACAAGATCCAAAGGTAGAAAACTGGCCAAGGTATTTCGTTTGGTGGACAAATGAATACTGACCTGAAACGGTGGAAATTTGAATTTCGTGCCTTCTAAATTATTGGTATTGCAACAATCAACTAGCTTGCCAATTGCCAAATTTTCATATCAATTTTTTCCACTGTATAGGCATATTAACGAACACAATGCATATAAGAATAAAAGGATCTTTCCAATTCCTTTCTATTATGTATTCTATTCCAAATGAGAACTTATTTATTTAGTGTATGCCATATCATACATGGATTAGCAATATATATTAACATATCTAGATTAATAGAATCCAATAAAATATAAATGTTAAAAAGACCTATGTTCAAACATTAACATCTCTGGATCATCTAACCATTGAAACCCAGGATTGTTTATATTTTAAAAAAATAGATTCCAGATTGGTATATGTCCTTAGTTTAGCTAATCACAATGTGATCTACAGTTTGATGTGAGACCCTCATAAAGTGTTAAAGTAACACTTTGAGAAAGATACTGTGCCCCATTTATACAGAGTATACCGGCAGATGCCATATAAGGTGCAAATCCTATTCAGGATTGTCCATTGCTAACTTGGTCATTCAAAGCTTGGCACCATTTTTGTGGGGTCATTTATATGTCTTCCTATATCTGGGCGTTCAGCAACCCATTTGGCTTTCCATTGGGAATCTGTTAAAGTTGTTGGGCAGATGTCATGCCAGTGCCAGTGCCAGTGCGGGTTTCCTGAATTTGAGTCTTCTTGCTAATAAATGTGGAAGATCAGCAGGTACCAGTAGGAGTTGTTCATAATTTTTCTGTATTCCCTCACTAGTGCATCTTGCCTTTGTAAAGCTGGCAGTGCTATATTCCTCAGAACAGGAAGCCAGCAAGCCAGAGTGGTTTTAATACCTCTGCTTATCATCGTCATGGTGTCATTGAGTCTGTCGTCTTAACTTCCTAGTATGGCAGCTATTAAACCATACCAGGGCACAGTATGCTGCTGCAGAGTAGATTAATCTTAGTGCTGATGACCTAAAGGTAGCAATTGGGGTTTCTCATTTAGTTACACATAATTTATGGAGGGTTATTGTTAATCGCAAAGTCTGTCCGACCCATCATCACTGTATGGACAACCTTCCTCCAGGCCTTCCTGTCTTCTACCATCCCCTGGAGTCCATTTAAACTCACATCAACTGCTTCAGTGACTCCATCCAGCCACCTCATTCTCTGCCGTCCCCTTCTTTTGCCTTCAATCGTTCCCAGCATTAGGCTCTTCTTCAGTGTGTCCTTCCTTCTCATTGGCCAAAGTATTTGAGTTTCATCTTCAGGATCTGGTTTTCTAAAGAGCAGTCAGGATTGATCTCTTCTAGGATTGACCAGTTTGATCGCCTTGCAGTCCAAGGGACTTGCAGGAGTCTTCTCCAGCACCATAGTTCAAAGGCCTCAATTTTTTGGCGCTTGGCCTTCCTTATGGTCCAACTTTCACAGCCATACATTGCCACTGGGAAAACCATAGCCTTGACTATACACAATTTATGGAGTATGCTGTTCCTAATATTGATTTTTTGCCACTGTATTCTTTGGCCCAATGTTACTCCAAGATACTTTTTAATGGGGATAATAGGGGAGTAAGTTTTTCTTTCAGTGGATCAGGATGGGGAACGATGGCCCTTTTATGACTTGTGGACTTCAATTCCCAGAATTCCTAAGCCAGCTGTGCTAAGGAATTCTGGGAGTTGAAGTCCACAAGTCATAAAGTGGCCATAGTTTCCCACCTATGAGGTAGATTGGTGGGGGGGCTTCATTTGCTAGTTTGTTGTTAAGGTAGAAGCACATAGTTAATGTTTTGCTGGTGCTAAGAGCGAGCCTCCAGTTAGTGAAGAATTTTTCCAAGATTTCAAGGTCTTTGGATAGGAGGCTGTGAGCTACCTCCATGTGTTTTTCTTGTACTGCTATGGTCAATAATCAGTGTGTCTAAATTTGTGCCCCCTTGTCACCAACATTATTTCGTATAAGGTGAATAGTGTAGCTGCCATTACAGAGCTGTGGGGGGAGAGTATTGTTTTACCTTATTTTTCTTTTCCTATTATTACCACTCAACTTGTTATCAATTAGTCAATAGAAATTTTTTCAGGGGATAATATGGCACAGTTTGCCCATCCTTCCAAACTGTTTATGCTGCAGCTATGTCTATGAACACATATCTGATTTTGATATTCAATATAGCCTGTTAGGCTTAGCACCTAACTAACTTGGTCCTGTCAAAAGCTGGCTTGTTTCATGGTAGATGTTCATCTGTTATGGGACTTAGCCTGTTTATAATTAATTTTTCCAGGAATTGTACCAGGAGCTCAAAAGGGAAATTGGGCAGTAGATTTCAATTCTGTCTAGTGGTTTGCCAGTTTTTAGAGGTGATATTATTTTAGCTTTTTTAAATTCTGGTGGTAGGCAGCCATTAGAAATTACGTACTTCTGAGAGGAATTTACCAATCCAGTTCCGTGCACGCCTCCAAGGGTTTATCAGGAATTTTGGATGAATACCATCAAAGCCTGGTGCTTTACCACATTTCAGACTACCAATGACAATGACAATTTCTTTTAAAGAGAAGGGGCAAGAGTGCTTGACCACCAAAAAGGTGAAAGTGCTTTTTTGGTGAGACTGGAGTGTCCTTTCACTGTTGAAGTTTTGAAGCAAGATAAAACTAGAGACTGTTTGGTCAGGAGTTATATTGGATGTTTCTTGTGTCGGTTATCTAGCTCCACTCACTTTTCTTAAAAGGTTCAATGCTTTCCTGCTGAATTTGCTGAAATTTAGTGATTCTGTGTTTTATTCCCACTTCTTACATTGAGCTGCATCTCTGGATCAGTGCTCTGTAGGAGGTAGAGTCCTTTATTTTTCAATATGTGAATTTATTTCTCTTTTAAACCTTGCAAGTCAACTAGAAAATTCCCAATATGACTTCCAGTTTGTTTGTCGTCAGAGTTGGAGCAGAATCCGCGATCGTGCGTGGTTTCACCCGAGCTCACTTGCTGGAGGGTCCCGATTGGAAGGGTGGTTGAGGGAAGTTGCAACCCTCCTCCCAGACAGGAAAACCTCTCCTAAAGGCAAGTTGCAGCTGTGGTCTTAAAATGGCCACCATGAAGACATAGAACACTCCGGGAAACTAAAACTGTGCTGGAGAGAAGCAGCAAGCAGTGTGTGAACTAGGCAAAACACATCATTTTTGAGGTACCCCAGTATTAAAAATAAAGGAGGAAAGTGTATGGAAGCAGTGACTAAAGAAAGTGAGAAGGAAATTGGATTTTATATAAAAAAATGGATTTTATTTTATAAAATTGGCTTGAATCATTGTATTGGACTAATTTGGAGGAGAAAATTTAAAGAAAAATATTTGAACAAAACAAAGGTTTAGAAATTAAACTGGATACTTATTGGATTATGGGCACTTAAAGGGCATAATTAAATGCTGAAATTGAGTGTGTTGAAATGAAAAGAAAAAATAGCTAATGATTGAAATTAGTGAATTAAATAAAAGTACTATATTTAACAAAGAAAGTTAAAGTTAAGGAAGGAGTGGACTGTGGAAAAGGCTCAAGATCGCCACCTGATGGTACAGGAAAAACTTCAGTGACCTTTCTTTTAAAAGGTGCTTGGTCTTTCTAAGAAATTGGACTTTGAAACTTAAAGGAAAGTAAAAGAAACTCCATTATAAAAAATAAAAACCCTGGAAAGTGACATTAGAACACTACAAAGGGGAAGATACTTGAAAATATTGGCATAGAACCACCCAGTGATTGTGGGAAACAATTGGGAAAGGGCCCTCTTGAAGACTTGAAACAAAGATTCAAGGACATTGATTGTTGAAAATAAATTTGAAAGACACTGGCTGAAATAATATACTGGACTTTGGGACTGAATACACCAATTAGAGAAGAGGAAAAAGAAAAGTGAGAAGATACGATGGAGGAATTACTTGTTGAAATGAGATCAGACT